ATAGGTTTATGGTCAAAAGATGGAAAATAAAGAATTTGAGAACATGTGAGCGAAGCAAACGAGTGTAAACCGGTTTTGAGTAAACACATCCATTTAGGTTAAATTTGAGTAACTAATGAGCTTGAGAGCATAAAATGTTATTATATACCATGAAAAAACTCAGGGAATTGATCGATTTGATATTGACCGTTACGTGATATTAGCGAAAACATGAGGGAGTTTGTTTAAAAAATCCCTTTAAAAAATACAGCAAGCTTAAAAGTAAATGATTTTTACCAGAGATTTGAAACTGTAAACCACATACTGAACCTTCATATCATCATATACATACATTAATTACATAAGAAAATAGATGATGATAAAAGAAGTACCTTTCAGAATTGTGAATTGCTGAGAAAGGTAACCATGCATCTGGCACTTTGAAACATTTTATCTACCCTATTCCAAACTAAGCTCTGAACTTCCAAAAGCCTTCTCGCCTTCTCTTGTAGGCTCAAATGCATTCGGACTGTTTCGCCATGGATCTGAGGGAAAAAAATAGAGAAAAACTATTACCACTGTAAGTGGTAGGGATGTTAACGGTTTGGATACAGCTTGGAGATGATACTTACGATATCCATATCTGCTTACCAATCACAGATATGGATATGGATACGCCTCAGCAAAGAAAATTCATATCTATATCCGCCAATTTCGGATACATTTACAGATATACATGCGGATCCAGAAGGATATGAGAAAACCATATAATATCGAAAAGAACATAACTCATATGAAACAATAGTGTTCGTTAATATGTTCATTATACACGAAAAGTTAAAATTATCTCTTGATCATCAAAATCAATCTCAAATCCATTAATCTAAGGATTAAAATAATTACAATTGTTTGACCAATTCATATTTGGATATTTCAAACCCGGATCCGGACATTTCACTACATATCCATAACCCTAACGATACCCCATCAGACATAGATATTTGTGACCATATCCGCATCCTAACAGATACGGATATTTTTCGCACCCCTACCTGTAACGGTTATAATAGGGAAAAAGCTCCAGCTACATTTTATTATCCAGGACAGCTATAGTGGTAAAAACTACGCGGATTTATTTACTACCCAATATTCACATGAATACCATTCCATCTTAAGATGCTATAAATGTGCACTCGTGGGCTTGTTGCAAATAATGCAATGTTGGATCTGAACATGCAACTGCCAACTAATTGGTATATGTTTCAAGTACTGTAAGCAAAATTGTAATTGTCCAGGATAGAAAACAAAACAAAAGTTGTGTGGATACTAATAAATCATTATAGCCAACAATTAGGTATATCTTTCAACTACTATAAGCGAAAGTGTAACTGTCCCAGGATAGAAGACAAAATGCAAGTTACCAGATACCTTGAGGAATAACTTAATAACAGCTTGAATAAACTCGAAGTTGTTCTTGCATGAAAGCTCATGAATGAAATAATCGAGTAATAATCCAATTGTCTGCAGTTCTGGCCTCTGGTCCAATGCTTGCATATCTTCATCATCTATTATTTGAAGCACACGAAGTTCTACATCAAGTGTCGAAGGTGACAGGCCTTTTATGTAGTCTGTGAATGCTGAAACTGCAATGAAAGATGGATGAATTTCAGAAGCTTTAATACTGACATAACCAATCAAAAGATAAATAATTAACAATCTGTTGCTAGACGTGAATACAAGAAGTCAAAATACATCTTAGATTTATGAAGTATAGTATAAACTTAATCAGTAAGTTTTCTATCAAAATATATTGGTTTGGGTGTTTGGATAGTAATCAAGTGCTCCGGGTACTCTTATCATTCTCTTTGTTCCCTAGTAAAGCAAATCTAAGGACAACATTTTGATCTTAAAACATAAATTTATGCTTTGCCTGTGATAGGCCATTTAGGAAAAATAAATTTTCTTAAAGACTGAAATTTGCAGCTTTTAGACAAGGTAAGGGCATCAATTTTAATGAAACTGAATTTATTTCAAGAAAGCAGCTTTAAGCTAGTGACAGAAATGAGGTCTATTGCTTGCAGATCAGATCCACTGCTAAGTAGAGATTATTCATTATCACTTGATAATTTACGTAGGAAATCTCACTTACATACACGATCATATATATTTTCACAAGCTTCAATACCCCATCCCACTAATTTCCTCCTTTGTTCTAATATGGCAAAAATACTTGAATAGGAAAATGGGGATGAAAAATAAACACTATACCCATAGAATTTAGGATGAGAAAAGACACATGGGCAAAATTTTATACTAGGGTTCATCGGTATTTTAGGAATTGTTTCACTAAATTAATAAATCTTGAAAACATTTAAGATGCCTATAAATGAATGCAGACATGACTTACAATCTCCAGTTTCTGCACAGGAGTGTAGTAAAAGAGAAAACTGAGACGATAAATTCATTTTCTGGTTGCTGTGCTTTAGTTCCTGATTCTTGGTATCTTTTTTATCACCGTTAGCAACTGCATTAGGCTTAAATAATATTTCTCCTGAAAGAGATGGAGTGGAGGGCAAGAAGAAAGGTGCTTTTTCTGGTTTCTTCGGAGGTTCCATTGGCTTGTTGCGGACCTGCAAGCAAAAACTCAGTTTTGTTAAACAAAAACCCAGCAAGGTGTAAAGATAATTCAGGTGCTCTCCAAAAACAATTTAGATTTTAACTAGTATAAAACACAAAATCTAGTAATTGAGGACAGATAATTCCAGAATATTTCAACAAATTATTCTACAGATGATGTATTAAGCAACTGACCTTTATTATGTCTAAATTAGTTAGACTTTGCCATTGGCTCCTTGGAAGCAAGGAAAGGGTAACCAGATCAGGCATTTGGTGAGCAAAATTTTCTGTAGAGAGAGACTTTTTTATTTGATACTGATCCTTTGAGGCATCCACTGAATCTTGCTCTTCAGCTTTTTCTTTTGAAGAAATAGATGGTAAATGAGTGCCTCGTACTTTGTTTCCACTTGCATATGATTCCACATTGGAAGATCCAGAGAACATAGTCTGATTAACCCTGATAAAATATGGGGAAAATGTCATCATGCTTGAAAAATTCGAAGACAAGATAGGTCAAAATAAAAAATCAACAAAATGCATTTATTACCATCAATGCCTGAGAACAAAAGAAAAAAAATCTTGAAAGATACAAATGTCGGATATATGTCGCAATACAAGAAATGAGGCTAGAGTTATATGATTGTTATGCTACTGCAACGTCAGCTAACACCTCAGATGTGTCATAATAGAACTTCTCCAGAAGTATAACTACTGACTTGCTATAAATCCCCATAATTCATAGGCTAAGTAGACAGTCAAGCAGCTAGAACAAAGAATTAAGAAAGGACTAACCAAAGGTAGACACCATTTTGATCAACATGTGAAGTAGCTAAAATATCCATGGCAGGGGAAAGGGATACTGCTGTTATACAGACATCAACTTGGAGAGCATCTATCTGTCTTGCCAAAATGACGTCCCAAATTCTAAGAGTTCCATCCATACTGGAAGAAAGAAGCCATTTCCCATCCTCACTAAAACACAGATCAGTGATACGATCTGTATGACCTTCAAATTTGCGCACCATTCTTACAGCCACAACATCAAACAAACGGAGAACCATGTCATCTGCAACAGTTGCCAGAAGACCTAGAAAGAAACAATAAATCTTTGTTAAAATGTACTTGCCCAGTGTGTGCTTATCCAGAAAAGAAAAGAACATGAAGGGGAACATACCATTTGTCCGGTGATAAACAATCTTGATGAGAGAACAACCAACATGCCATCTAGATTTTACTACACGGGCTTTAAAATCCCAGACCTGTAAATGAAACAAATATATTATGAAGAAGCTCCTATGCCCTGCTTCTGAGATATCACTACAAATATGTTCCATTTCAGTTCATTTTTAATTTATTAGAAAGTCCTACTATAAGAGAGTTCGTATAACAGGATATGAATCTGCTCAATCATGTTGCAAGTAACAAAGTGGGTGATATATAATTAGTATTTGGTGCAAAAGGTGGCATAAAAAGTAAAAGTTATTATTCTGCAAACCTTTCTTCAGGACCATAGTCTACTATGGAAAAGGAAATAAAGAATTACAATCGTAAATTATATATTACATGGAATAGAGCAGCCATGCCATTTTCAATGGCAGATTTCTATGCAAATGTATGCATGCCATTTACACCTTACAATAGAAGTTGTGCACCTCCTAATCGAAAGTAGCTAACCACTACAATCAGGAAGCATAGTCTACGAGACCACTCAGTAACCAGGAAGTACTTATGATTTTGGACTTTGGAGATCACAAAACCATGTCTTTGTAAATTCACTAATTCTCCATCTGTTGTATAAAGAACTATCCAGTTGATCAGAAGGTGCAAGCAAATAGGGATATCGTGGTGAAAGCTAAGTAGGTAACAAAAGTAGCACTCCTACTGACTTCCCAGTTACCAATATTAACACGTTACATGCTTGTTTATTATGTTATAAGTAAGTACATCCTGTGCATGCTTAGCATTAGCTTCAAGTGCATCTATCCACTTTTGCAACTTTACAATGAAGCTCTTCCTAGTCTTGCCAAGTCACTCACAAAAGCAACCGTGTGAGCAGCACCACACATCAAAGATTCAAAAAATAATGCTAAATAATCAACAAGCAACAAATGGGTCCAATTTCAACACTCAGCTAATCAGGGTCTATGAAGGAAGTTTCATGAAGGAAATAGTACTTGCATCTTTTTGTCATATAATTAAATTACATGTATTGAAGTTTATTTATATGATAAATGAAGGGGGAAAATTATCAGTGTTCGCGAAATGGGTTACAGCCTCAGTAATGTGTCAATCAGCCACCTAATCCAATATACCTCTGAAATTGGATATTTTTCAAAAGATGTTTCTGCATCTCCAGCTACATATCAAATTAATATTTGATGAAGAAACTCTGATTTTGTTTTCAGTTTCTTAATTACAATTCAATTTTGCAATGTGAATGTCTCAGAAATATAAACTTCATAAGTTTACTAGTTATAGATAACACATTTCTCAGCTAAGGTATGAAATGGAATACAATACATCAATCCAGTAACCCAAACCTTAATGTCACCATGGTATCCTGCACTTATGAGGATGTTGTTTGTAGCATCACAGGCAATTCCAACCACTTCCCCATCATGAGCACAACTTTGTGATTCAGTAATGTCCACATAACTGCCTCGGCTGATCCCTGATTGGAGGTTGAACCGTTCAATCCAGCCACCCTCAGTGCCCAGAATAGCAAAATTACCACAGGCACTAATTGTGCAAGCCTGTCAGGAAAATAGACGAATGCTTAAAATGACCCATAACTTCCATCGCAAACTAGAGAGAATTAATACTTACACTGATGTTTTTATATATGTCGTATTATTGTGGTAATAAACAAGTAAAATTACCTACGATGTACTAAACACATTCGAAAAGAACATACCTTAACATGTGTTTGCTTGTCGGTGGAAGGTGTGAGAATATGTTCACCAAGGACAAAGTTCTGAAGACGCCACACGTAAGCTTGTGGAGTATCCATATGACAGGTCACAACGTTACACCAATCACGCTCACGGATCTCGGCTATAAATATTTTTTATTTTTTTGAAAATGCAAGATCAGTAAACAAATGAACTGTCAAGAAAAAGAATATATGCTAAAGAATAACGGAAAAACGCATTATAAGCTTGGAGAGGACTTTGGCGAATGTAAGATGACATGCAATAATTATCACAGCATAGAAACAATGCTGCGATGTATATAGAATAGAATTATTTCAAATATCACCACCCAGAACTGCCCCCGCACCCGTGAAACATAGTTTATAATTTAGGTAACATGAAGAAGAATTACATAGTAAGGCAACTTATGGACCAGGGTTTTGGAAGCACATGCAGTTGCAGCTTTAGTAAGTCAGTTTATTTTGGGCCAACGATCATGAGATCAGGAACATCTTTTTTTAAATCATAGAACTCGAGCAAGGCAAGCTGAAGAAACTGCAGTTTACATTTCCAAAAACTTAAGGCCTACAGAAGTCTGCTAAACATTAGAAACAGGCCCGCCATGCTCAAATATGGACTTCTACAACTTTTTAACATAATTTCACACATTCTTCCCTCAGCCAGAAGAATGAAATGAGACCACGTGAAGGGACTGATTTTACCAAACTATTTAATTCCACAAAACAAGGCCTGCAGTCAAGCATCGGCCCTCCAAGACTACAATATGAACACCATCGCGCTATTGCAAAAACAGGAACACACTCCTTAACATACACCATCTGAAGCTCAGGATGTAATGTCAATTCGGTCAATATAATAATATGAGAACTTACCCAGAATATTTCCTATGACAATAATAAAAAATAAAGAATGTCTAAGGAGAGACTATTACCAACATCAAAGGTGATAACAGGCTTCAACTTGATCTCTTCTTCCTGAGAAAGAGTAATAGTGCTAAGTTAGATGCCTCTTTATCCACCAACAAAAAAAAAGATAGCAAACAGGGCATGCGGAGCAAGTCAGGTTATCACCTTTTGTTCAAAAACAATAACAAAAACCCAAAAAAAAAGGGGGAAAATAAAATAAAGAAAAAACATTCATAAAAAACAGGCCATAAGATTGTAATAAACAACAAATTCATCATCTCTCTTTATACCTTCATCATGAGTTTCTTGGCTCTTTTCGTTATATGACGCTGAGAAAGTTCTCTACTTTGTTGGTCCTGCCCAAATAGTGAACTTTAATTAATTTAAACAAGATATACAACACAAATTTGTTTAATGGGTTTTTACCAAAAACATGAATACTGTAAGCATCAAATAGAATTGACACAAAAGGTCTACCTCAATATATTTCAAGTGATATATCTACAATCACTAATAGTCTCAAATATAAATTGCATATAAAATACTAGGTCCTTCAAATATTGCCATATCAGACTAGTTAAGTAGAAGACTAGTCAGATACATACATCTAAGTTTCACTTAAGTACACATAAAGCACTAACATATCTATATATCAAATTACATAATAGTACAAATAACTATAGTACATTATAAAACGAACTTTCTAGATTGACCTAATACTCTTCATATAAACATCTGCTTGAATCAAAATAAATCTTATGAACCACTTCACGCATAATTAAATTTTTAACTTCATACTCACTGACACTGGTATATTTTCAGTTACATCTCAAATACATCATAAACTTTAGGATGTATTTAATAAATCTCAACATATCTGAGCATCCAGTAAGTATTAGATGCAGGCAAGTCCTCTATTAAGTACCTATGCAAGATAGGTAAAGCCAATAAAACAGTAATGTTAACATTTTGTAAAATGATAGAATGACAAGCAAATGTGACTGACAATCAGCATTTATTAGTAAGAAGCTAAAGATAGGTGTGAATTGTTCACTCAAAACTAAAATCAGCATATCTACATGGAAATCAAAATGACACAAACCTGCACTACTGAGAAAAGCCGGAAAGCACGATCTTGACCTGCAGACAATATGCACCTTCCATTTCTGTAGAATCTGAAACATCAAGAATCGAACAATTATCAATGACAATAACTTGCAGAAATTTCGTACAGAAAAAGATTCACAGAGATTGCGACAATCCAGACTATGAAAACCCTCTTTGAATCTAATCACCCACAGCAAGAACATCTTCAGGAAATAATTGTATGTATTTAAAGAAAATATTTGAAGGGCTTTTTCAGACTACTGTAAACTTAATTCACCAGTAACTGAAAAAGGTCACATTTCAGATATATCAGACTAAAATCTAAAAAAGCAGCAAATTTTTTTAGATAATTTCTTGAAAGAAATTAACAAAACAACATTTCATCATCAAAAGCGTTACCTATTAGCGTGATGTGGATAAATTTACACCAATGAAGTTCTAAAGGTGAATGAATATGCAGAGACCTTAGGGTGTGCAAGGTTATATAGTTAACCTAAAGAGAAATAAAATAGTGCAAAGGAAAATAAAAGAAGCATGTGCTTGAGTAGAAAATTTCACCTGATGCATAAAGGAGGAGCACTATGACCGCTTCGAAAGCGTAAAAGACGAGCTTCTCCATCACTTGTATCAAAAATCCACATCTATAACAAAATTAAAATAAATAAATAAATGCCAATAAGGAGATGCAGTTACTTAATTAATAAAGAACACAATGAAACAAACTAGACATATTGCAAACTGGACAAAGATAAAAATTGTGAACTTCTTCAATTCTTCTGCAGAAGGTAAGCATATGATGTGCAAAAATTTAACAGAAGTGGCTCTAAATTTAATTAATATGAAATGAGTAGTTACTTTATTAGTCTGTTTGGCATCTGGTAACTAGTTGCGGAACGAAATTGCTATTCTGCAAGATAACTCGCGTAGGTGATTCACGTAAATTGAATGGCGAAGTTATTTCAAGTATCTTTATCAAAACCTTCCTACCTACTACATCAGCTCAAACTTAAAGAAATTAATAAGTGCAGAATGTCGTAGTAGTGCAATGTCTGATGGCATTTTTATCCAAGCATATTAGTGTAAGCTCATAACAATTAACAGGTATTGTTTTGGGCAGTATTTCATCATGTACGATAAGACATAGAAAGAGGACATGAAGATAACTTAGTGTGGTCACATTTTGAGTGGCATTTGGTGAAGGCTATCCTTCTTCTTAGACGTTTATATGATACAATCTAGTACTGAACTCTCCAAAATTGCAACAGACCTTGATTGTTTTCCAGTTTTATGTCTTGAAAGTATTTTTGACATGCTGGTATGCCCATAACACAGATGCCCAAGTGCCCAATGCGTCTAAAATTTAAAGTTGCCCCGATAAGGCCACTTTATTGATTGTATCTGTCGAGTGTTGAAGGGCAATAACCAATGTTGACTATTCTGGGTGATTCATGCCACAGCAAACAACCCTAGCATATGGCTCATACTAATTACAAGAAATAGATTAAGCTATGTTGGCAACTGACCACAGATAACAATGCAAGAAGCCGGGAGCTGCTCTCAAGATCTCTTAAAATTTCCTAATAGAAGCCAAATACCTCTGCTGGGTATCCATGTATAAGTCGCCCATCCCTTTGTTAAAACCCTAAACAGTACAATATTATGTAGCGGATAGTTTTCAATGGATCAAGAAAAGATCAAAAACTGCATAGCAATAATCACACAAATTTCAGAAAATCCATCCCTGAAGAGATTCTAAGCAAGAAATTATACTTATATGAATCCATGACTGCTTTGTTGTTTTGGTACCTTCCTAAAAGTTTAATTTCTTCAATTTTTAGCAGTTTTAGAGAGTTTCAATTTGAGATTCATTATTCACATGATCACCAGATATTAACACAAATGTATTCAGACTTGAAATTTTATCAAGGCTTGAGAAGTTACATATATCTGTTTTGGCCCCTTCCTGAAAATTTGATTTCTGCGAGTTTTTGCAGTTTTAAAGAGTTCCAGTTTCAGTTCGATTAAAAAATTCTAAATATAAAATACTTTCAAAAAAAATATTATCTGTTAAATAAGATTTGTAAGCAAGTTATTAATAAAACGGAGATGTGTGCCCTAGTTTTATTATTAAGATTTAATTTGTGAAATATCTGTCAATAGTTAGTAGGATATTTTCATGAAGATAAGAGAAATTAAGGATTAAACATAAAATATCAGCTAATATCTTAAGTTAAGTGGGCAGTTTCTGGTTCCCATTTGCAGCCCACATCAAAGCCTGCTTATGTAAGAAGTTAATACCAACTATTTAGCAGGCAATAGCCACTTATACAAGAAGCCATGACTAATTACTTGGTATGAATCACACAAAAGTTTGATCCATCCTAAGTAAGAATATACCTGAAGAGATTAACCCAGCCGCTCTCAACTCTAATAAGAGAGATTTAAGGGACCAAGAATTCCATGAATCACTTTCTTTCACTCTCATTCTTTTCTTCTCCGCCATCTATTTACTTCTTTTTGGACCTGAATTCTTTTGAACTTTTGTCGATTTCATTATTTTTTACTATGTTCTTACAGACTTCAAACGAACTTTAGTAGATGTGTAATTACTTTCTTTTTTTGTTCACTATTATTTTACTTGCCTTTTCTAGAGGTCTATCATGCAGGACTCATTTTTTGCTAAACAACTGCTGAATGTGGCTAAAACAAGTATGTTTCAGCTTAAATCTTTTTCCTTGACTCTGCTATCACATCGATGATGCATCCATGTAGCTTCACTTAAATATTTTCCCGATTGCATTTGGGGGAAACAAATTCCAGTTTGAATTTCCAAAAGGTATTTAATATCCTTAAAAAGAAGCTAAAAGTACAATGATATATGCAGAATACATATAGTTAGATCTGAAGCTTTAGAAAAGTGTAGTGACAGGAACATGCATGATAATGCCCACATTTAAATATACAGGAATCCAAATATGCACTATGTCCTGCAGCAGGCAGCTGCATGATACGTGTTGTGCTAATGGTTAATACAAACTGTAAGAAGCATGCACCTTTACGTTCCTAAAGATATAAAAGATAGATCAGTTGTACTACTGCAAAAGTAGTACGGACTAATGCACATGTGTACAAGAATAAGAGATTCTCTTACTTTCACTGAATTATCGGAGGCAGCACTCATAAGAACAGGCTCATTGGCAAAGAAATGAAGTGATACTATTGATTTATCATGTGCTTCTCGAATAACCGACTGGAGCTTCTTCTTCTCCAAATTCCATATGCATATCACACCTGATGAACCCCCAGAAGCTAGGAGAGGTTGACCATCTACAAAATACAAGAATATTAAACAAAAAAAATGAAAATAGCCAAGGTAATAGCACGAGTATGAAGGAAAATTGTGATGAGCAAAAATACATATTTCATAACATTCAAAATTTCATTTGGGGCACAACTTTACTGCAAGTCACTTCTATATAACCACTTCAATAAAAAACAAACATCAGTTTACGATAAAAGCAAGGTACCTTTCATTCCAAGAATCAGAAAACGCTCGTGATTACATCTAATCTATCCAGCTATAGAAGCAGAATATTACTATCTGACATAATAGGATAAGGGAAAAGTTCAATAAAAACTTGCCAACAATAAGATACTGTTGGCGAGTAAAACATTAAAAGATTGTATCCAGGTGTAGTTCCTGGTAAGTAACAGGCCAACATTGAACAACAAGATGATCACTAGCGGGGCTAAAGCATGTTCATGCGTATGGAAAAAGTGTCACAATCATTCATGTACTGTAGATAGTATCATTCTGTCTCAAGAACTATAAGGATTCCATACCTTCATTTATGTACAGATATGAAAGGCAACAGTACAAAAATTTACTCCAGTATTTCATATTAAACTATTTATAGACCCACCAATCTCAGATAACAGTCAATTGTTGGTCTTGCAAATATACATACATGGTATTTTACTCATCTCTAATTTCTCATATGATTTTCAAATGTTACTCTCAAATGACTTTACAGGATCCCTATGGAATTTCAAAAGCCAGCTCATATAAGTGTGTAAAGAGATATCATAAAGGACCAGATACTCTAACCGAAAAGGAGGAAGGCTATATAGATCACATCAAATCTGAATTTAGTAGCCAACTGAAAGAGATCAGCTAAGAATTACCGCTGCTGAAAGCCAAGGCAGTTACAGCACCACGTGTAGAATGCGTAAATGAAACTATCTCTTCATCATAACGCACGTTGTGAATATGGATTGTTCCATCAGCACAACCAACTGCAACTACATCCAGAGCGGGCGAAGACACACAACAGTAAATAGAGGAGTTCCATCCTTTAAATTCGTACAGTTTCTTCTTCGTGCTGATGTTCCACAGTTGGAATGAACCTTCTTGGCTGCCAACAATGACCTGATTTAAGCATAGTACATAACAAAGATTTTGATAACAAGTAAAGTTCAGAAGTAAGAATCAGTATAAAGGTCTCAACAGAATTTTAAGATTTAAATGTTCTGAAGCTACCTTGTTTAGATAAGTATCTGGATGCATTATGCAACTTGGCGAGAAGTTCTCCTCCAGCAAGATATGCCCAGCTGGTTCAAATTTTTGCTCTACATCTTTGAATGCCCAGATGAATAAATTGCCTCTAATATCAACACTTAAGACATGTTCTCCAAGTAAGAGCAAAAGATTAACCTTGTGATTGTGTTTACTCCATGTTGCTACCTGAGTAAAAGGTTCATAACAAGAAAACCTAATTTAATAGCATAGCATTCAAAGAGAAGATGAGGATGGTAGAGGTAGTTTCAGCAAGGACAAAATTTATTCGTAAGGGACACTGCCACCATAATATGCTTCGTACTATCAGTTGGAAAGAAATACCATAATATGCTTTGTACTATCAGTTGGAAAGAAATACATTATAGTACTCAAACTCAAAATTTAATTACCAGAAACCCTCCCATCAAAGAATCAGAATATGATTTTAACCATAAATAAATTTAAAATGATGTTTGAAAGGAACGTCCTGCAGCCTATAGATCCAAGCATCATGACAATGACCGACATCAACACCTAAACATTCTCATGTAGAAGCAAGATAAGTTCTGACGCGTTAGCTCAAAGAAAGCTCCACACGACCAAAAAAGGGACTTTTGACAAATTTTAGAACCAGATATCAATCTAATGGAACTGAACGCAAGAATAGGATTCATTTCTTGATCCCAAAAAGGTGAGATGAAGCCTTTGTCATTGGTGTTGTATGTCACTATAACAACAAGTCGGCATAAGTATTGCCTCCAGCCAATCTATTAGCAAGCGTTTAACTTTGCCATAAACCCCCATGCTAACATGTTAGGTAGACCGACCTCTTTTGATTATGCAATATAAACTCATGCATCAAAGGAAAAACAGTTAAGTATCCTGAAGCTTGGAACGCATCTAAATGAAAGGTTTTTTAAACATTTTCAATAGGTGCAAGTTCGTCTGAGTTTAGCGATTTTTTAAATATATAATAATAAATAATAGGACATAATATCGGATAAGTACTTCAATGATGCCAAACTTACACATCCATAAACGATTCGAGATAAACAGGCGGCTTTACTACCATTATCGAATACAGTAAACATAGTTAATTAGTTGGGTCAAACGGGTACAAAGTTGATAGTTCTATGATATTTATAGTATATCATGTCTGTGCTGAATGTATGTATATCACCATATCCACATGAGTCAGAGTCATGAAAAAATCCATCTCACGAAACATAAAAAAATCAGTACAAACTATAAGCTTCTGATGAGTACATTATTATGCGAAATATGTACTAACCTGATGAGCACGTTTAAACACACCAACTTCAGTCCCAAATGCAGCAAAAGTATACTCTCGATATGACGCAAGAGCTCGAATCTTCTTCGGTAGTTGAGGCCCTTCAATGAGAGATTACGCGCTGGTCAAAAACAGTAAGAATCGAGGACATAGCACTGAAGTTCCTTTTTTTTCTTTTTTTGGGTTAATGTAATTTCAGCAGGGGGGACTTTCCAAGAGGAAATTAGAAAACAAGAGGGGAAAAAGAACTTTTTAATAGCATCGAAATGAGACGCGTAGATAAAAAGTGTAGAGCCTTACCAACCATCACCAAACTCAGTTTAGCACACTGCACACAAATTCAAGTAAAAATACAAAAAATTAGGGTTTGAGCGCTCAAAACAAAAACAAGAACCAACCTTTTCAACTAAACAAATTCAAGGAGGAATAAATGAGGACGCTTACGTTGTAAACTTGCCAAGCTTTGCCGACGCTGACGGTGACGAAAGTCTCGGTGCCCAATCTCTGAACGGAGAAGGGGACTTCGCTGGTGATGTAGCCAATTGCACGGTAGGGTTCGAAGATTCCCATCGCTTTACTTCTTCGATTGGGGATTGGGAAGGGGATTTCTAGGGCTTTATTTGTTCAAAATGCCCTTTTTTTAACCCCTCACAAACTTGAGGCGGCGTTGGAGAGATGAAGAAGACGAGGGTTTAAGATTGCGGGGTTTTTCTTATTGGGTTTGGAGCGTAGATCCGTTTACCTTTTTTTCTTTTTTCTTTTTTTTAAAGATACGCGTATATAATACGCTAGCTTAGTTCTAGTTCTCTATAACCCCTCAACAAAGATTTTTCTTTGTTTTTGTGACTGGGTTTTCTCACTCGTAGTCCCTTACATCTTTAATATTTTGTAATGAGTCCCGCAAATCATCGAATTTCCTATTTGGTCGTTGGGTCAGGATAACATTTTTATCCTTGATAAACAAAAATATGTTGTTTTTCATACCTGCCCATAAATCATAGTTATCTTAAATCTATTTTTCCAAAATATACTATTATTGCAATACGGATTTCTTCAAGATTGTTTCCTTAAATCATCAATGTTTCGAACTATATATCAAATGATCGGATTTTTTTTTATTTTCTCAAATCTATTAGTTATTTGGATAAATCTATTCTTCAAAATATAGCGTTATTGTAATACGGATTTCTTCGAGATTGTTTCCTTAAATCATTAATATTTCGAACTATATATCAAATGATCGGATTTTTTTTATTTTCTCAAATCTATTAGTTATTTGGATAAACAACCGGTACACTGGGGTATAATGTTGTTGTACATATGACCCTGGGTTTTGTGTATCTATACATGTGCTAATTGTAACTATATCGGTGACCCTAAAGTATAGAAAAGGGAAACTCTCGGGTTACTCATATAATTACAGTCAGTATACTCTGGGTTACCCATGTAGATATAACACCCCAGTGTTACCAGTGCAGTTACATCATACCTCAGTGTACCGGGTTGTAATTAATCTTAGATTTTTCAAATTAATTTGTGTAGGGAGAACTCCATACCCGTTTAAAATTCAAACCACTATTTTTCTCTAATTCACTTTACAATGGCTCCGTCATGTGTGGTTAACAACAGCTCATTGAAGGTAGAAATGTTCACTGCCGTCGTTAATTAGTAACCTAAAGTTAGCAATTTAGAAAAAATTACCGACGCAGGTACGAATTTAAAATAACTAACAAGATTGCTAGAAGACTAAATTGCAATTTAAATATGTTTGAGGGACTGGCTCGTAATATTAAATTAAACCCCCAAAATAGAATACCTTAGACGAACCGAATCAAGCTAGATTCAAACCAAAAATAGAATACCTTAGACGAACCGAAATCAAGCTAGATTCAAACCGAACCGAAGCATATTAAATCATTTTGGTGCAGTTCAATTCAGTTTAGCTTAGCCTTAGACGAGTGAAGTTAAAAGAATTTTTAGCTAACATACAAAACTATTACCCCTTTCAACCTTTTACTCATCTCATATCCCAGATCGAAGAGGAAACTCGTCAAATTAACCACTTTACAAACCAAAAATCAAACAATTATCGATTAAGATACATAAAAAGATTAGTATAAATTATCTACTTACATAGAACAAACATAAATTTTAGACAATTATATTGAGAGCATTTGGTTCAGTTAATTCGGTTTCAAATATTTTTAGAACGAAGCGAACCCAAGCTTTTCTAAACGGGTGGCACTAGGAACACACCCTCAACCACACCTCCAACCATACTCTCTCTCATTTGTTACAGTACATCAAGCCCCACATATGATTTTAAAATTTTAAAATCACATGTGGAGCCCGATATACTATAGCAAATGAGAGAGGGGATGTGATTGGAGGTATGTTTGGGGATGTGTCCCTATCATTTTCCTTTCTAAAACCTTTCTAAAACCAAAGCGAACAATCGATTTAATCGGTTTGCACCAAACCGTGCTCACCCGTCGCAACCACACTTTCAAGAAAGGGAAAGAAATCAAAATATTGCAACCACCAACCGTACATTAACTAATAAAGGGAGCGCTACGCAACCAACCATACACCAAAATAAAAAGAAAAAAAAGTAAACAATTTCACCCGCCATTTCTTCGGACAACTTTGATAACCACCAATTACCCCACGTCGTCCCTCATTCAGTGCATCCTCAGTCATTTCATCATCTAAATACAAATGAACACTAGAATCTCGAAAAGAAAAAAAAAACCTCGCAGTGCATTCAGCTGTATAGAACTAAACAGCAAACAATTCTAACAAGAAAACAAAAAAAGTATAAAACCAGACCAAATCAATATATGAACAACGAACGAATACAACGTGCCATTACAACAACAAAGAGCACACATCGCATTCACAACGGAGCATCAAATCAAGAAGCCAAAACCGAACGTGAATTATGGCGCACATTGTTCCTTCCAAGCCCAAGCCCAAGCCCAAGCCCAAGGCCCAAGCCCAAAGGACTTCCAGCACTCCTACCACTATGAGAACTATTACTGTTTCCCTGTGAAGAATTTCCGCGTGCATTGCCCTGCACGTGCGTTCTTGAATTCTGGGACTCTACACCGATACAAACATGGGCATTGCCATTTGCGTGGTGGTGAGCGTGGCGGTCAACATTACCTGTATTGATTCTGTTCAACTGGATCAGACCAATTTCATCGGAGTGTTCAGAAGTTTGTTCATGTAGTTCAATATCTTCATTGTAGCCATTTATTAGGAAGTTGGTGCAGTTCTTGCGAATTCCATGATCGTATGGATTCCTGAAACGCCCTCCTGGGCCTCTTAAGTAGCTGTAACGTGGAGCATTTGCCATTTCGTTTGTTGTGATATTTCGAGAGATCTGCATAAAGAGCGAGTTATTAGGAAGACGTTTGAGGGACTGTATTCTATTGGACAAAGATGCATTGAGGAAATGACTAGAGTTTCTCTCTCTGGAGAAAGAATAAGACATGATGATCAATGTAATTGGTACCGGTAATTCTAGTGATTACAGCAGTCACCACACATTAACTGTCTATGTAATTACCTGCTGGATAATTAGTTCAGCCAGGTAAAGAGTTTTACGGTTTATTCGCATAATTTGCAGTTACTGCAAATTATAAGCAAGATAATTTTGGATACTGTTTATGAAAATTGCAGCAGCATGAGCTCAAAGGTCATTGCTTAGTATTTGTTGCTTCATTTGTAAGTCAAAGCAAGTTATTCCTCGGTTAAAATTTTCTGGATCTTTCCTGAACATAAAATATTTCACCTTGCTGCCTAATTTCCATAGACCAAACTTAACTTATGACTATGATCCAGCACACATATTAGATCCAAGTCACACTGAATACTCAATGAGATGCAAACTTTTACCCAAAAATATCTCCAAATAATGTTATTGGAAGATAGAGCCACATATTTCAGATTATTAAGAGCTTGAAAGGGATTACAAACTGGCATCAGAAACAAAATGAAGCGCTGCATTGGAACAAGAGATTATTGGGCATAACAACTAGTCCATAGGAATCAACATGAAATTGTAAGATGGTAATAATGCAATTGAATAATTAGTTAGATGGAAGGGATAAGAGGAGGGAGGAGAATTTTGCATAAACTATTTCTAACACCGAAGACAAACAAGTCTTTGGATGAAGGAAATAATTCGTAATCCCATCTTAATATAGTAAAACTATGCAGCAAAAATTTATAGAATTATAATACTTTTTGGACCTTATCCGAGATCAAACTACACGGTCCATCGATTTGCAACATTAGAATAATCTCGAGAGTATTATATGGTATCATAAAGAGTGGAATAAAATAGATATTAATTAACCAGAACTTTTGACAAAAATACCAGCAACATACCTGTGATGCTTGTATTACAGTCAGTAATGCAACTCCAAAGAAAAGAAGAAAATCCATTATCAGAAAGAATATGGCTCCCGGGTGATGAGTAGCAGCATGGTTCATCCAGGCACCAAAAAATTGTGGAGCAGTTGGATCTGTCTTGATTCCTAAAAAGTTTTATTCCCCGTCAATTACAGGTTTCTTAAAAAAACCATTATTTTTAAAAAGGAAAAAAGTCACAAATAAGGCCATTCTTGAATGCACGTACTTATCATGGTTACGGCAGCTGTTATCACCATGGCAGACACCTCTAAAACAAGGAACATGAAGAAATCCCATTTATTCCGCTGCAGTTACAGATGAGTATTAATCAGATACAACAGAATGGACATGATTACAAGAAGAATGCAAGTAGTATTACGTCCAGAACAACTGCAGAGCAATGGAATCAGGGAAAACATAAGATTCGAGTTAAAAGAACAATGCACCTTTCCGATACAAACTGCAGAGCAATGGAATCAGGGAAAACATAAGATTCGAGTTAAAAGAACAATGCACCTTTCCGATACAATTTGATACCCATGGGCAATGATGATAACATAAGATTCGAGTTAAAAGAACAATGCACCTTTCCGATACAATTTGATACCCATGGGCAATGATGATCAAACTGCTCGACACAGCGGTCACAAGTGGAGCAATGCTTAGCACGCAGAGGCCTGACTATCTAAAGAATTTCAAAAGAGATAAATCAGAGGGACTCAGGATTATATACAGTTCTATCGCAAACAGAGGCATCACCCAGAGAACTGAAAACATAATGTTAACTATGAACTTTTATTACTTTCCCATGTCATCCCTGCTCCCCCATCCAACAAATAAAGCACACACATCGCATGCATCTGTATAGTGATCATGTTATATATGGCAGGCATATCTTGAAGGTGCATCAGGTGGGAACAAAATACAAATTTTAATGTCAAGAAGAGACTAAATAATAGTGAGGTAAATCATAGTGAGGCCTCGCAATTTTAAAAACCATCAAACACAATCTACCGCATTCTTCTACAACATAAATATATTCAGCTTCTTAATAAATAAATTTTTATGCAGATGTTCGCATTATGGTCTCATGTACTGAGCCACAGTAGAAGTTATGGATTTTTGAAGCAAATTGACCTACCATGCGATGAAGAATGGTTAAATGTAATTGTACATTCTGTGGAGAATATCTGGACTGGAGCAGTCTAACTTGCAATGAAAAGTTATCGAGTTCTATTGATTTATTAGATTGGTATTAATTGTTTAGCTTAAATGAAGACCCTTCAATTTACTTGTAGGTTGTTAGGATAACTGAGATGTGATTTAATTTGTTTAGATAAGATTATTAAGTAGTTGGTTATGGAATACTAGTTAGTAGTTACAAATGATGATTCTACAGTGTCTCAGAATCAAGTTGATGAATGAAACTATTATTTATTCATTACCTAAGCTTGAGAATTTAAATTTTCCTGACATCCTTTCTTTGATAGTGTTATCTAACAGCATATATTCCTGCAGTTTTTTTATTTTTAAATTCACTAGTTTCTTATGCTGAATTTAAGGTGTCAAATAGACAAAAAATGGCAAACAAGGAAATTTTCCATTTCCAATCTATCCAGATATCAAAAGGTGTGAAAGCATTAAATCCAAGGTTGTAAATCATTTTACTAACTCGAATCAAAGTTGCAAAAACATAAATTTGCCACCAACACAAGTATAGGATTTTTAAAAATGTCACCTTGCATGTAGCACATAGCTGGGACCAATTCCCAGCCAGTAAAGCAGGATTATTCAGTTCCATCTTCAATAAAGGTTCCTACAAAATGCCATTGAAAGATTACATTGGTAACACAAACACTAGCATATATTGCCGAGAACATGGCTATGGACACAGGACACAACATATTAATGAGAACTTAAAAAACAGGTCATAGTGAAATGTCCACATGGGTAATAACAAGATATATGTATGTATATGTAACACGATGAAAATGCCAAGTGATGGTCAACAATAAAATTGTTAGAACAAAATGAATGGATTACTCAGAATTGTCAACAAATTCAAGTAACACTAATTTGTCTTCAGGGCTAACCATTTTGAATGAGTTTGGATAACATAGGAACTCCATGAAAGGACATAAAGCAATTTGGATACTTCTTTCTTTAACTATTACTTATTAATTAATTAGGTAAATAGATTACAACCTAAACAAATTTAGACATTTTTTAACTAATAGACAAATTTTGATCTCATGAACCTAATTACAGAAATAATGGGCTTTTGTGTCTTAAAGCAAAAAATCAGTTTTAGCTTGGACACGGCTACATGTCCCTGGAAGTACATGATTTACAGCATAAAACACTAATAAGCAAAATAAAGTAGGTTATTATGTAGGATCACATACATCAAAATAAATGTGTAACTTAAAACACTAATAAGCAAAATAAAGTAGGTTATTATGTAGGATCACATACATCAAAATAAATGTGTAACTATATCAAGTGAGACTTGCATAAACAGGTAAGTAGGATCACATACATCAAAATAAATGTGTAACTATATCAAGTGAGACTTGCATAAACAGGTAAAAGCCCTTCAACTTTTGTTTAATTTTTCTAACAAGTTATATGTTACTTCATTTTGCTGTTAGTTTAAGAACTATAAGCCCAAATAAAGTTAGGAAAGAATGGGCATTGCTAAACCAAAAGGACAAAAATAGCAAGCTAATAATTTTTGAGAGATTCGGAAATAAAAAAGTTTATGATATACATTTTGAGGAAAAGGATAGACAGAAAAGGTAATTGAACTAATCCACGGATAAAGCAACCTACATCATCCCTGAGATTCTCCGAATCACGTACATTCATTTTGATAAAACCAGGATCCTTCCTGCAATAAATACACCAGTGACAAAAAAACAGCTCGCCATGAGTAAGGCAATTGCAAGCTGAATTATAAAATCTGAAGCTAGTCTAGGTTACCCAAGAATTTTCCTAAAACAGAATATCATAAAACTAAACAACAGTTATGAAAAATAGGGTTCGCCTACTATCCATCAAACTCCTTTAGGTTTCATGGCTCATAACGAAAAGCAGTCGCACACAGTTATTAGAAAATGTACTTGTTTCAAGTTATATCGAAACACCTTTTTGTGAAATCTGCAAACAGTAGTCATGCATATCTATTACTGCCCTATGGCTATGAAAGACAAATCTAAAATATAAACAACGATAAGATTTGACCATTAAATTATTCCACAGGCCAGTGAGGCCTGACTCCGTGCTAAAGGGCTGCGATTGGATTATGGAAGGTCCCAGGTTCAAAACCGGGCTCTGTTGCTTCAAAAGAATATGTACGCACCCCGTGAGACACACAACCACACATACATACACTACAACTGTTACTTCTGTGACAAACAAACTGTGGCTATGAGCCTATGACACGTCTTAAGAGAAATAGGATGAAGTCATGACACTACTCCCAACTGTTTGCCTGCTAGCAACTTCAATCACATAATAACACAGACCCAATAAAATATCTTAACTAATATATAACCCACATAAATATCAACAACAGAAATAAAACATCTAACCTTTTTGCCTAACTCCAGTTTCTATTTAGTCACTAGCACAGTTTCGAGACTGAAAATGTGCAATGGAAAGAACTCCCATGCACCATCCACTTTGGTAGTCTAAGCATCTACATTGACCCCTGGAGCTTGACCCAATTATAAATTTGTTTTTGTCTATAATAAGCATTAGGCTTGCAAGATGCTAAATATAAAATCAGTACACAAAAACAAATTAGGAAAGATTTTAATATTTCACGTTCATGGGATCTTTAGGAGTATGAAAAAGGCTCAAGCATGACCAAAATTGGTGGCGGACAATCAACTTATATGGTTTGGCTAAACTTTGGAACTTTCTTGTGCAAGGAAAAACTGGCTAAATTTACAGGTTTCAGATACTTTATCTATAAAGTAAGCAGACATTTTGCTCAATTTTAGGAATGCAACTGGATACACAGAATATGATACGGATTCTAAAAGAATTTCAGAAAAAAGACAGATTTTAAACATACCTACTGCACCTATAAAACATAACGAGTCCAACAGTTGCCAGTAAAACCCCAGACCAAGCAAGAAGTCCAAACCCAGCTGTCAACTTCGGAAAATAAGATGCTGAACAAAAACAAAGAGATGATAGGCAAATTACAAGTATTAATAAAACAATGTTTAATGTTTCTCAGTCAAAAAATGTTTAATGTTTCAACAAAGACACAAATGGAATGGCTACATACCTGTGAGCACAGAATGTATATAAGTAACAAGCATAATAATAATTACACACCACAATGCAGGTGCAAGTCCTAATTTCGATAGTCTACCATGCGGGCTATTTCCATCACAACGTCTGTCAAACAACCTTCTAGCATTGCCCTGCAAAGAAGGATACTTCTTAACCATGATGAGGTAATTTCTTTTAAGAAGGATACTTCTTAACCATGATGAGGTAATTTCTTTTCTTTTTACAGGAAGCTTAGAATATAAAAAGGAGATGTTGAAGACTTTACAGGCATAAATATATGATATAGATATAGATGTTCCTATGGTTATTATGGTCACCAAGTGTGGAATATCTCCTTCGACACTCAGATGAATATAATTCAAATTTCTTTTAAACTTTCAATATGTTAACCCGACGGAAAACTCTCATGCTCCCATCAGTAAACAACCGAAAATTATGTTCTTCTGAAAGTCTTATACATTGAAAATGTTTGAAAGGCTTTCTTAATAGTAGCAAATAATTAATATTTGCACATCCAGAAAACCATAGGAGAAAGAAAATGAAAGTATCATCAGAATGAAATACTGGCGGAACCCTACGGAAAAAGCTTTGGAATAGTTAACATGTTAGGCAGATGAAACATTCATAGACTAAGCCATGGCACAACAAAAGGTTACATATTTCTACAAACTGAAGCCAAAAAATGGGAGGCTTTGTGCAATCAATAGCAAATAATGAATATGTCCACATGCGGCAAATCATGATATGGAAAATGGAAAGGCTATTGCTAGACATAGAATACCTACGAGGAAAAAAGCAACTTGATGATGATTCTTATTAGATGCTAGCTGTGCCGGAGTAAAACCACTGTTATCTGGCACCATTAAATCCTCCTTCTTCCCTGCCTGAACTAAAACAGTGCATGCCTCTAGATTCCCTCTTATAGCAGCCCAATGGAGAGGAGTGCAACCTGATAATGGAGAGAGATGAATCAAAGCCAGATGAGAGTACAAAAAAGTAAAGAATCTCTTATGGAGAGAGAATTAGGGGAGAAAATGAAGTAGCTGAAGGAAATATACCCTCTTTATCTTGTCGGCCCCTGTAGGCATCAAGAAATAGAAGAAGACGTATACTATCAGCAAAACCTTTATAGGCCGCCCTGCAAATTTAAAAAATTTAAAGGAAGGCGCATGATAACTATCCACAGTAATTAAAAGGCGAACACAAAAACGTAATTGAATTTACAAATTTGCATGTAAACAGTGCATTTCTTATTTTTTCAAATTATTAAAACCAAAGCATGTGCTGCGATAACTAAAATATGCTGTGCAAGGAAACAGACAAGGAACAGAAAGGTATACAATAGTTAAATGTTGCTTATATTGCAGCAACTAGCATAATATTAGCAAATAGAAATATTGTTAACAAAGTCCATAAAGCATGGAAGCCCACAACTTAACCACTCAGAGAAATATCATCTTAGATAGTATATACTATATATCTATAATGATTCAGTGAAAGATAAATCAAGTACCAGTGCAAAGGGCTTCTGCCATCATTATCAGGGGTATCTGGATCAGCATTCCATTTTGCAACAATATGGTAAAGGAATGCTGTTTCTCCATACTGAGCTGCAACATGAGAGGTCTGAAATAATGTGGAGCTTAATTAAAAAGGAATCTCAAAGTCATAATAACATCTTGTCCAATGAGAAAGAAACATAAGCATCAAAAGTAAATGAAGCCATAACAAGGCAATGCTAATTTACCAGTTACTGCTATTGTTTTATTTCCAGTGTTTAAGAAGACAGAAGTATTAGTACAGATTTCATGATTGAATTCTTTTGTGCTGAAAGAAACTGTATTCATAATTCAGGAGGTTTATCCTTACCTCAAACATTATTGAAATGAATGGAGCAAGCCCACACGACTATCATGTGAAAGTGCAAGCAAAACATGAAACAACAGACAATGGAGATACTGACCCACCCCCCCCCCCCCCCGGAAAAAAAAACCAATCCCCTAAGTTAATACCTTTACATTCAGACACTAACAATCAAGAAAGTGTTGTAACTTTGTCCATCCTAAGTATCACTGTCAGTTAATTTACTTAAAAGAATGAAATAAGCTGATCTAGGCACGTGACATCTCAATTTGCATGGAATCTAGGCACGTGACATCTCAATTTCCAGTGTTTAAGACAGTCCCCCTGCAATCAGCATCATATCAATTGCAAATAAAATGCTCATGTTATCATTTAATTGCTTTTTTAAATATAATGGGGGGAAAATAATGGATGTATTAGCAACACCCACTAGTTTTTAGACACTAGATCCTTTAAGTTTGAGGTTGACTTTCACGACCTTTTTGACAGTTCACGAGCAGTTAGTTCTGGATAACTCCATACAGTTAGAAGCTATCATGTGTTTCCCACAAGAATAAAATATATTTACAGAGCAAGTATCTATATATTTGTTATAATAACAACAACAATAACACAATTCCAAGTATTTGGATTTGATACATCAATTCCTTCAGCTCCGAATCATCTGCTCCATTAATTCACTATTATATTTTTTTAAACTACCTAAATCCTTGTTTACTTAGATCAGATTATCCTTCGACCTTGTGATTCATACAAGAGTCAGCCAAGAGCTAAGGCTAACTCTTGCAAAGCAAAAATAAAAATTGCTAGAGTTCATAGACATGAGTTAGGGTATTGACAATTTTGAAAATTTATCTAAATAACATTGTTTTGGGAACATGCTTGAATTATAATTCTCGAACTTCAGTGGAATACGCGCCTGACCCTTCACGAGGCACAATATTCTATCTAACTACACTTCAAAACATACACAGCCCTTTTACCTTAATTTTTGTAGTTAAACAAGACCTTAGATCTTTCGCCTGCTGGCCTACTCCTTTAATTACACTTCTATCACTTTCCTTAATCAGTGCATTGCTCATACACATTGTCGGTTGCCAGACAACACCCAAACATGATCTGTGCATACAGCTGCCTCAAGACTTTGCCATTGGGAGAGTCCTCATGCGATCTCAACAGGTTTCTCATTTATCCTCAAGGTGCGTTTGGTTAGGAGAGAAAGCTTGGAAAATGCATGAAAACCATGTGCCATGTCCACACGAGAAAGATCTTGCCGAATGAAAAACATGTTTGGCATTTTTGAACTTCTTGAGAATGTTTTTCTCAGTATCTGATGTGGCAAAGAAGATCCATTTCCTAATTTTATTGGGGAAAATGGCTGGAAATCACATTACACGCATTAAAATTTCGTTTTGACAGTTGGTTTGTTCCACACATGAATTAGTTGTGAAGGGAGATTTTTTGAGGAAAATTTATGTGTGCGCCAACCCTAACCAATCATATCCCTCTACGAAAATTGTTTTCCGTCTTTGAATTCCAAGAATCTCCTGGAAACGTTTGGAAATAGGCTTCTTCTTTTCTTTTTCTTTTTTGGTGCAGAATTTGGTTTTGCATTATTTTTGGAAAAATACAAAACATGCCCTCAATGGAAAGTACTACAAACTTGTTCTGGAGATCTCATTCTTTTAACCTGATTTTACATGACTCTATCATCCCTCTCATGTTCTCATCTCAGTTACACTCATCTCCTGTCCAGAAGATGTAAAAAGCCTTTTTTTTTTAATTGTTGTTGTTGCTGCTGCTCATCCTCTGGACATGTTTGCCCAACACTCTTTGACCCATAAAGCATGGATGCCCTTATAACCGGCTTGTTATAGTTTCTTCATCAATATCTACAATGAGATGATTCTCAAGAAGCATCCACTTTAATCGTACTACAGTTCACTGAATAACATCTCCTTTAGTGATCTAAACTATCGCCTAGTTCGCAATTTTAGAGGGTTGTTCCTGAGTTACATGAGCCAATAACTGATCAGTCATGCTTAACTGGAAGTCTAGGTAATTTAGGAACCAGGAGAATATGGTCACCCCACAGCAACAAAGCCACCCAAAAATCTAAGAGATCAGCCATAGCGTTTCCTGGTTTTACAGATTCCATAATGTGATAGGAATCTATATATGTGCAAGAAATAAAAGAAGGCACCATACACAAGCAAATATTCAAAAGTGATATATTTTCCTTTATGTTTCCCTATAGAATTCAATGGCTTGTCACTTAATGGATGTCTACCTTAACAAAGGAGTCAGTGCAGATTCAGAACCAAGGAATAAGGACAAAACATATCAAATTCAAGCAAGTGTATATCCCATCATAAACGGTGAAACACATCATAAACGGTGAAACCTCTAAATTTCATCATTCTTAAATCTACTGTGGCCATAGTCAGTTTAATATTCTAGAGTTATCTAACTCAAACTGACTATATTATGTGTTTCGAAGAGTCTAGTTACGTAGCTTAACAAAGACATCAAAGATTATATGATAGAAGAGCATATATAATTCCGTAAGAACTAAATAATTACATAATCACAAGAATAACCATTATTAAGATAATGAGAACCGCCTCCACGAGAAAACAAAGCATGCTTAAATACTTACAAACACTGATGAGAACAGCTCAAACAAGAGGAATTAATATCAAAACAGTAAAAACACACCTGATAGCCATTCAAGTCCGCGGCATCAACACGAGCCCCTTCCTTCAGTAAGAGCTCAGCAACTGCAATATTACCACGAACAGCACTCCAATGGAGCGCTGTTTGGCCCGTGTTATCTGCTGCATTCACATCACCCCCATGCTGCCCACACAAACAAAATAAACAATCATGCTACAAATTTGCTGCTATTTGGTTGCAGGAGGACCAAACTGAAAAAAGAAGTAAGAAATTCTGGCAATTTTGCAACAAGCACCTTGTAATAAGTTGTCATTCTATTCAGTAAGAGAAAGTCTATAACATAATGTAATGACAACTGGAATATTCCAAAACTCCCAGAATTGATTTTCTTAGAGAGAAAACAAGGAATGATCCTTTTGATAGAAACATTTTAGTCGGTGATGACAAATTTATTTATGTATTCTGATATATGAAATTCAAAAGACAGATATAAATGAAATTGTGTTGGCGCTTTTTCATGCTACTTGCACAACAAAAATCATAGAGATTGTTCACAATTAAATGTTTCCGTTAATGTCTACTGCATCTAAAACAAGAAATTTTACATAAAAAAGGGCGTTAACGTCTTTGAGAAGACATGATGAGGGCATAAATATGTAAAATCTAATTTGTGGAATTTAAAATAGGACAAATGGTTAATGCTCTGTTTTGAAGGTCACTGGTCTTCTGGACTGAAATTGGATATAAGAAGCATTTATTAATTGTCATGGGGTGGCCAGGCTGGGAACCTCCTAATATGCCAACGCAACTAGGAAAACCACTCAAGCCTTAAGCATTCAAAGAGACAGACTATATATTTTGGAGGAACTGACAGACAGTGATTCTGCAGTTGGATAGAGGAAACGGAATGCATTACAACATTTCTTGATTTCTATTAATTTTTTATTACATTATCCTAAATAGTTTCACCAAATCTCCTCTTAATATCTCATTCTAAACAAGTTAACCTATTAGAATATTTTATTACTGAAGTCACCTTCTTGGTCTGGTCCTAATCTACATGACTAAAAGATAAGGAACCGCACACTGGAATAATTTAAGAACTTTCTGCCCTAACAATAAAATCCACTTAGGGATACATATAACAGATGTCACGGCAGCCAATGAGGATATGGATATATGTATGCAGTTCAGATATGTTATGTTAAAAAAGAAAAGGAACCGATCAGACAGCTGAACAGGGATCAAATAAGTTTACATGTAAGTACAGAAGCTTTTGTGTATGTGGGGGTCGGAGGATGTGGGCCCCTCCTCCATCCTTTTGGCTCCATTCTTTACCATACTCTGCATCTCATACATGTAACTGGAGTGGGATGTGCATGGAAGGAAAGATAAAAATCAAGGAAGCTAGACAATCAACATAAAGTAAACACCCTCCCTACAATTAGACATTCTACTTAATTGCAGTAGCCTAACAACTTCGAGGACTCCCAATGGAAAGGTATCAGACCATTCAAAAACCTAACAAACTTCTTCAAGACTATCTCAGGGAAACATCACAAACCGCCTACAGTCTAACCGTCTCATAAGCACGCAACCAAAAAAATTTCCAATTCTACGTAGTATAGTAGGAGGGTTTAGAAAGTTCAAATACCCCTACCCAAAATCTTTGTTTTTGCTCTTAACCCCTATACTGTTATCCTCTGAATTTCGAATCCCTCGCAAAAATCTAAAAGGTCAAACCTCAATTATGTATTGAGCAACAGCGGTGCGATTGTTTAGTGCGGCCCACTGGAGGGCATAATACCCGCCACCATCGGGCTCGGCGACAGGGAATCCCTTGACCTCAACCAAAGTCTGCAGCTTCTCAAGATCCCCGACTGTGGCCGCCGCGTAAACATCATTCTTCATAATCTCCGGAACCACTGTCTCCACCTCCCCTCCCTTCCTCCCTCCTCTCCCCTTCTCCACCACCTCGATCTCTGACGACATCTCGAGATTGATTAAGAACAAGAGGAAAAGGATCAACTTCTTGTTTTATTTTTTTATTTTATTTTTGGGTCTCTCCCCTTCAAAGGGAATTGAAGGAGGAGAGATTGATTGGGATTTTTTTCCCTTTTTTCTTTTTTGGAAGAAGAGGATTAATCTGACGACATAAAGAGAAAAGAGAAAAGAAGAATGAGATTGGTGGACGGCTGTGGTACGATCGCTGCCAGAAGTGTATTCCATTGAGATGACTCGGTAAATTACCCGTATAAATTTCCATGAATTATTTAGCACATTAGGGGCTTCATGCATGTTAAATGCACGTATTGTATTAGAATGTTTCTATATTAATTTGTAATGATGTCTATCTTTAGATTAAACTTTTTGTTTCTTTATATCTCTGAATCAATCAAGATTATTGTATCCACAGTTAGTTAATATTTTCTGAACGGGTTTATTCATTTCAACTAAATTAGTACTCTAATATAATAATAATTTTTGCCTGTTTTTAACTTTCAATTTGCATTTCTCACCCCCAAAACTTCCATTTTGCACATAACCCCCCTAAACTTAAAACTCCTCACAAAATCTTCAACTTCTAAACCCTAGAATCCAAGCTTGCCACTCTAACCCAACCTTCACAACAAAAACATCAAAGAGATCGAACCTCAATAATGACGAGGCGCGCGTGGCGATTGTTGACGCCGGCCCGCACTGAAGAGCGTAGTAGCCGCCGCCATCGGGCTCGGCGACGGAGAACCCGTCGATCTCGACCAGCTTCTGCAGCTTCTCGAGATCGCCGGACGCCGCCGCCATAATAAACCTCGTTCCTCAGCGCCTCCCGGCGGCGGCGGCGCTCCGCCTCGCCTCCGTTTCCTTTGCCCTCTCCCCCCTCCTCTACTACCTCGATCTCCGACGACATCTCGAGATGGATTCAAAGCAAACGAGATCGTTGGATTTTCGTTGCTAGGGTTTTTTTTTTGTGTCTCTCACCTTCAAAGGGAATTCGAAGAAGGAGAGGTTGACTGGGATTGGTTTGACGACGGAGAGAGAGAGGGGGGATTCGTGGACGGCCAGGGTGTGGTCACCGCCCACGGTGAGGTTACCGCTCCCCTTGACCGTGGGATTCGATGTCGTTGGACCTCGCCGTAGCTTATTAGATTGGGATGACCGTCTGGTAAACTAACCGTAGGCGGCTTCGTGCACGTTCGATGCGCGTGTGGGAGGAGTTTTTTTTTTATATATATAGATATTTTTGAAGGGATTAAATTCCTAAAAATTACCACGTTGAAGCTAGCCGAAAATGAAAATTAAAAGAGTAAAAGTGATAAATGCTTTTGCCGTTTGTTTCAATGAAACTAAAATGCCAACAAGTATATCACCCCAAATTTATTAGCCAACAGCTTCGGTGCTCCCAAGCAGTTGGTATAGTTTGTTTCATTAAAAATCTCTCTCACATCCTAAATTTGAGGGATAAGATAGTTGACAGTAGTTCCACACCCAAAAAAGTAATTTCACTTAGATAAAAAGGTTATTTTAGGAAGTATAAATGGATTTAGATCCTCTCCACTACAAAAAAGTAGTGGAGAGACCACTACTTTTAATCTCAAGCGTTGATTATTTAGTAGGCGGTTATGATACAATCTAAATCTAACACTTACCATACCCCCGTGTATTGCACTCATTCCTAATTTGCACTAAAAGAAAAAAAATCATAACCATCAACTAGTAGTTCCACACCCAAAAAAGTAATTTCACTTAGATAAAAATGTTATTTTAGGAAGTATAAATAAGAAGATAAATAGGAAGTAGTTAGAATTCTCCAACTAATGAAAAACTCTCGGAGTCTTTATTTTTTTGACGTGGTTTTCTTCTCCAATTCCCTAATTCATTGCGTGAATGGCCAAACCTAATGGAATTTAATTTTTGATATGGTCATCGATCCTATGAAATACTTCATACGAGCGTCTTCTTTCTCTAGAGTATTGAGCCCGAGATCATGAGTGTCGCCACCGGGCCAATCTGACTGGAAATAAATTCTTTTTGCATAGAGGAACTGTATGTATGAGCCCGGCATTAATTGGCTTTCTCTTAGGCCTTGGGAACTTTCATTCGATTAATTTTCAACTAAACAACTGAGATTTTGAATGAACATGATTGCTTTGTTTAAGTTCATCAACATGGTTGATGGTCGATTTTCTTCGGATCCAATTTCCTTGTATCGCATTCAATCACATGTTAGATTTCTTGTTGATATCTTTATTGAGGAATTTTCTTAGCGTAATTCACCTATGATTCTATTTAAACGGATTTATACGCGTTTGATGGAATTCTGTGGATGAGAAATTGGTGGGGACGAAGAATTTTTTTGTTTTTCCAAATTTACCCTTTTTTAAAAATAAATTAATAAACAATTTTAGGAGCACCGAAGCAAAGCCCAATTTATTAATGCATGTTCAATTTTCACGAAAAAGAACGGATGTCAAATAGAAGTTGGAAAGTGGGGACAAACTCTGAGCAAAAATAATATTTTCTTTATTTAATCTTTAATTTTACCGGCAGATTAAGCATTTTTCCTGTTCGATGGTGCCAGCATCATTTTAAGTTTGGAATATGCTATATTTATTTCTATATTAGTCCCTTAGGTACCGTTTGGCAAAGGGTTAAGTGAGGGTTAAGGAGACTTAACCCCTTCTTAACCTACCAAACACAATAAATCTATATAAGGATTAAAATGAGTTAACCCTCCATAATTTGCCAAACATAAAAATTATAGAAGGGTTAAGTTAACCCCTCTAGATGGGTTAAAATGAGGGGTTTACTAATACTCCTATTTAGATGGAATAAGAATTAACCCTTCTAATTATAAAGAAAATAGTCAAAATCATTGTTATTCCCAAACACTAAAACTGATCATAAGGGCTAAAATAAAACTTATTTAACTGGTTAATAATTTAGTCATTCGGATTATCAAATGGGCTAAGTACATTAATCCTTCTCTTTAACCCATCTTCATTAACCCTTTGCCAAACGGGGCCTTAAATTCTTACTAGATGTAAAATAGTTCCTCAAATTATTGGACAAATTTTATTAAGTCTCTCGATGCTTATAAGCTTTCACGAAGTTAATCCCTTAGCCATTGATATTTCCATAATGTTTTTGAATTCTTACTTCAAATTAATCCTTGAGTTAATGATGATAACAACAAGATATAAGAAGCAAGGGACCCAACACCAATTTTAATAATTTCACGGAGCAGTTTTTAAAATATTAAAGATTTAATTAAGAGATTATTATTAAAAATATTATTTTTCATCTTAATCTCCGGTTTACCGATTTAACTTCATAAGGGAACTTACCATGGTTTTCTTTTATTTTTCTAACCGCCATGTTGTATACAAAATCTTGTGTTTTTTTGTTTTTAGTCTTGCTAGTTTGATATTTAATTTTAACATGATACGAGTGGGTATTTTCAATTAAGCTACCAAAAAATCATCGATATTATAATATGTTTTTAAATAAAAAAATAAAATGAATTGGCACACCATCTTCTCTTTTCTATTTTTGAATAATAGATTTGTTTTTTAAACAAATGTTGTATTTTCATTTGCATGCTAACATGGATATATTTTCTCACTTGACAAAAAAGAACTTGCATGCCTTTTATTCACATTCAATTTGCTAAACACCTCCTATATGTTAATGTTCTCATTTCCATATTAAGAAATCAGGATAACGTTTTACAGCTTTCACAGCAGTTGGTGTTTAGATCGTTCATTTAAAATCTACCAAAGTCTTAATTACTTATTATTGGATGATCATGATACTGAAAATTTATGATATTTCTTATGAATAAAGCCACAATATTGCCAATTTTGTTAAAAAAATATACCAACGCTAATGGTTGGAGTCATTCAATAAAACTATATTTTAAAAATAATAAAAGCAACTCTTACATGTCAAAATACTATTAACAATAAAATCACTATGATTTGATTAAACAAAACACATCAACTAAGACATGTATAATTTAATAATAATATGAAAAGTTGATCTATGCGTAAATGGATGTGCTAAAAAATGATGAATTTGATTATCTCATTTGAGGCACCAAAATAATCACGCTATTGATTTCTCATATATATTAATGATTTGATTATCATTTGTATGATATACTCCTCAAAAACAAAAGAATAATTTCTAATTTACTTGGACGAATGAGAAAGAACCTCTAAATTATGTTGGATAAAAGGAGAATATGAAACAACAAGAATTTTGGAATAAAGTTTCTTTTATAGAGAACCATATACAGATGAATGATGACTTATTAATTAGAGAAAATCAAGAGAATAAGAATCTTTGACAAATTGCAATTAATATCGATCAAGATCCATGCGGACCATGCATCATAACACTGCATTGCAACAAATCAAGAGAATATGCATAGTGTGAAAAATGTGTGAAATAAATGCGTACTTTAAAGATGTTTGAGTTATTAGTATCAACATTAGATAACTTCTAGAGTGAAGCTTCTTTGTTATATAATTCTAAATTCTTTTATGATGAGTTTGTAGGGTTTTTTTTCTAGTGATGTTGTTTCTTACATGCAGATTTTGTAGCAGTTGTAGGGAGTATGAATAAAAAAACACAAACTACTAATTCAAAAAATATATGCATTTATCATTAAGAATTGTTTGGTTGCGTTTATTTTGAAAGAAAAAAAGATTGAAATTTGTTAATTCATGGAATCCACTACGAATTTTCTATGCTCTTCTCTATTCTATTGCGACTTTTTAACAAACATGAACTGTTGTGTTACATTCTAAAACAGGCAAATGCTGAAATCTCAGACATAGCTTCTCAAATCAAAAGGCCAAACGATAAGATTTTTCAGCATGGTGACCAAAAGATAAGATTTTTCAGCAAAGTGAAAACTATGTCAAGAATCCAAGGGATTCAAATAAAAAATAGAGGAGGAAATAAAAGGCAAGCACATTGCCATGATTGTCACATTTCCATATTATGTCATTAATCCCAGACATTAAAAAACCATCTGAACAAGCTCGTATTACTTTGGCAAACTATGTGTTTATTGATTGCATTTAAATAAAAACGTGCATCCTTTTAGAGGCTACCACGGATTTTCAATTTGGATACTTATGCATCTAAGTTGAAGTCAACAAAATTTTATATGAAGCTTTTAAATTCATGTCTTATTATTGCCCTTGCTTTGTTTGGACTTTAGAAGTTTAGTGAAGACCCAAGAAAACAGAATGGAGGACTGTTTAATACATTGTCAATGGGTGATAGAAGATGCACATTTAAACTAGAATAGAATAATTTGTAACCAATTCAAAGAAAATATATTTTATTTGCTCCATTTCTCTTAGTCCCTCCTATATAATTACTAGGTTTTATGAGCGTGCAATGCATGCGGTCAAATATCATGATTACTTATATTTAACTTATTTCCTTTCTAAGATTTATTCATTAGTTTTACTTTGATAGTCTTTGCTCGCTTATGTTTCTAATCCTTAGCATTGTGATTATTTATTTTCTTTGATGTTTGTTTGAATAGGCTATATTAAATTTAAATTTTCATGTTGATAACTGAAAATTGACATGAAACAAATATAATCCAAAGTCAATTTGAATTTTTAGGCTATTTAGACCGACATGAAACCAAACTTGACTTGAAAAAGTATGGTGTTGCGAAAGTACAAAACACTTGAAAAAATAGCGTTTATAAAGAAAGATGAATGATTACAGTCAATAAGCCAAGACAATTGATTAAAATTTGACTAGAACGAAACTAAAGAGAATATGAAGTTTGTTTCTAATCATGTATATACTTTATAGAAAATTATAAACTAAAGATTAATGCTAACGCTAGCACACTTTTATATGATAAAGCATCCACGTAAGTATATAGAAGTACTAAAAAAAGCTAATAAAAATCTATTCTGAATATTCCTACTTTTACTCAAAAAATTTAAACTACTTTATAAAATATTCAAAAAAAACAAACCTTTTATCTTTTGCTTCATTGTATTATCGAGTCGAGATAAATTATTCTCCACCTTTATCTTCTTCCTGAACAATTGTAAAGTTGTGTCTTCATCGTCTATGTTGATTGTGACATTAGACTGGAGCTATATTTTTTTGTTGGTATCTTTCCCCAACTCGTTTCATCTTTTATCTTCTTGCCTTACTTTACAAATAAGTTGAATGTTTCGATGTTCAACACAAACTTCTTAAAATACGAACTTTGATTAATTTTCTACTCAATGAGAATAAATGTTAATTTTATGTAATGAAATTTTTTATTTTTACTTTATTACTTAAATAAGGTTAGGAGTTAGCTCTTTTTCTTAAATAATGTTAATTCTATAATTTAGTCTTCTATCAATTAATATTATTAGTAATATTATATGCAATTCGTTTATTTATACAATGACGTTGATTTTTAATCTATTATATATTTTTAAATTGTTTATCCCTATTATAATTTTTTATTAGTTTTATGTAATTTAGTCTTCTATCAATTAATATTATTAGTAATATTATACGCAATTCGTTTATTTATACAATGACGTTGATTTTTAATCTATTATATATTTTTAAATTGTTTATCCCTAAAGTAAATGTTTTTAATCTATTGTTATTGCTATTTTTTACCAGTATCAATTTAGACTACTTTAGATGTTGAAAAATAATAATAAACATTAAATTAAAAGCTATATATATATTAATGAAAGAATATCAAACAATTAGTTTTTTCTATGGAAAGTTTAGAAAGTTTAGTTTTTTTTGTGTTTTTTGAATTTTTGAGGGTGTGATTTGCAATTATTTAAATTAGATAATGATTTTTAGAAAAAAATTAAAGTTTTAAGTTGGGTGCTTGTAATTTTTATATTTCATGTATTGGTGGTAAATTTTTAAATGTTAAGATGTTTCTTGCAATAATATTTTTTATGGGTATTGTTTGCAATTTGGATTGTTTTTTACAAAATTTAAATTTTTACCACACTACTAATAATTTCTATATTTGATGTGCTTTGGTTATAAGTTCTGAAATTTTAGGTTTTTACGATTTTTAACTTTTGAGGGAGTTTTTTTTATTTTTTGTAACTGTAAGTTATTTTTTGTTAATTTTAAATTTTCAAGTGCACGTTTTAAAAATTATAGAAATGACCTCAAAAGTTCAAATTATAGAAAAACACCCTAAAATTTTAAATTATTCGGGGGTTATTTATAATTTTTAGATTTTATGTTTGTTTTTTTAAGTTTGAAAAAAGAAGGGTGTTTTATGCAATTTTGAACTTTTGAGAGTATCTTATGTAAATTTTCAAACTTTTTTTTGGGGGTGGGGGAGGTTTGGTAATAGTTTATGTATTATAATATGCTAACTACATATGATTTCTTAATCTTATTTTTTTAAATTGTGGAGTTATAGGTGGTTCACGTGGGATTAGTATAGGATATAATTAGTATTAGGACATATTATGATTTAAATAAAATATTTAAAATAGTGTTTTATGTATTTTATTAATCTTATTTTTTAAAATTGTCGAGCTATGGATAATTCACGTGAGATTAGTATAAGATATAGTTTGAATTATAATAAAATAAGTTTTAAAATAAAAATATTCAAAATAATGAAGAATAATATTGACGATGGAAATTTTTTTTTCAAACTCGTGATTTTAAAAGGAGTATGATAAATAAGAAGATTTTCAATGATACTTAAAATTAGATTTAGAATCAAATTTTGGCAATAAAGAGGTAACTCGATGTCCCTGTACATATACACTTTTTCGTGTGTTTTCCCGCGGATTACCTCTAAAAGAAACAAACATATGTTAACTCTAAAGCTCTGAACCGACATGTTAATTCTGTTCTGAACCGACAAGATAATTCCGCTCTGAACCATCATTATTCTTTTTAGTGTTCGTATAAAAAAGTCAACTTATCGAACTCAATGTTACCTTATAGTCATTGACAGGAGTAAATGAACAAAATTGAAACCACAGAAGCAAGATAGATGAGAGATTTATGATAATGAAGGTAATAATAGATGACAGCAATAATAAAAATGTTTTATTAGACGTGTTAACTTTTAACGACACTTGAAATTAGATAAATTGACAATATTTTTTTGTTATTATCTGAAGCCCGCAAATCCCAAAAACCCTAGCTGACCCATTTCAGGAAAAACCCTAGCTCACCCCACCGCGCCTCTTATAAACTTCACTCTATCTTTGGATCCAGTGAGTAAACCCTAGCCTCTGGATTCCTTTGTTCTTTCCTTAAAATTATCCTTCTAGAATCTACCCCCAATGGATTATATTACTCCCTCTGTCCTCTGCTAGGGTTTCCAGCTCTCTCTCTCGCTCGCTCTCCGCCCTTTTTCTTTCCTTGTCCTGTAATTTTCTTCTTCTTCTTTAGCTAGAGATGGAGGTTGCTTTGAGAAGTGCCGAGAGCAATGGAGCTGCTGATTTGGTTAGGGTTTTCGTCGGCACTGTTCTGATTGCTCAAAAGGCTCTCTTTTTGGTTCTCCTTGCGGTATAATCCTCTATTTTTTTCTTATAATTTTGTCAAATTGGTGAAAGTTTAGCTAGGGTTTGTTTTTAATTCGTTAAAGATGGGATTTTGGGTGGTGGGTTGGAGTTCTTTTGGTGTTTAGGGATTGAGGTTCAGATTTTTTCACTTCTGGTGGTGATAGCCCGATAGGTGTAGTAATTCTGAGGACTTTTGATCTCTGCGCTGTCTAATTGTCCGATTATTTGATAACATTACCAGCGTCCATGCAAGATTGGGATGCTGGTGGTACTAAGTTTTCATATTTATCTCGTTGTTATTAACGGATGTTGTCGTATAATACCAAAGGAAATATAATCTAGGGTTTCTTCTAGTATTGCTTAGGGAGTAGTACTTCTTTAACTCGATTAATCATATTCACATTTAAGACCACCATTAAACCCCTTTTGCTCCTGTTAGGGCTTTACTTATTTCATTGTTATTCTTGTGCTATCTTTGTCAATTGGTGATATTTCAGCTTATACGAAACTTTTCTAAGATGATAGTTTACTTCACTAAAATTTAACGTGACACTCTCTTGGTTTTCATTTCTTCATGGCATATTAAATTCTGTCATCTTCTTGTTGATGTCTGCAGTTGTTTGTGATTGCTGCTGCTATGGTATTTCTTGAAATGCTATAACTATATTTTTGCTTTATGCAAGACTTTCAGAATGTAGCATCATTCACTTACTTGACTACAATTGTATGTATCTTGGCATGTTAGACGTCAGTTTTAGGACACATTTAGTCGTTCTATGCGAGTTTAACTAGATAAGCACACGTGTTGACAAAACTCATTCACGTCCCACAAATTTAATGCAACTTTTTTTTTTTTGTATTGCATGCTAGATATGCTGCCACGTGAAGTATGCTTGCATTAGGATAAGATAGCCCGATGTCGTTGTTCATGAATTTGTTTTATGTTTTGAATTAAGTGGATACGCAAGTTTAGGGACAAAACTCCTTTGATGTTGAAAATGACTCAATACCCCACGAATTTAATGCACCATTTTCTCGTTTTACATGCTAGATATATAGCTATGTAGCTACGTGTAGACCTGACATGTAAAACATGAGATAATCTTCTTTTTTTAAGCGCAACTTTCTTATATTTATTTCCCTTTTGTTCATTGTATTTACTAGTTTCATGCATTTGTGCCCATAAAAGTAAATTTGTCAGCATGTGCTGTGCATGTGGAGCTTTATAAAGTATTTAACGTGTTTGTAATCTGAAATTATGGTGCGGCTGGGCTTTATGCACAGAAGATCATAGGTATAATCTGGGCTTTATGCATAGAATCATGGATATAATTCAAGATACAAAAACTGGGCCCATTTCTGAATGGTGTTTGCCATAGCCATTGTGTTACAGTCAACAGTTTGTTACCGAGCTATGTTTGAATGTAATCCCATTGACTAAATTTAAGGGTTAGTTTACAAAACCCTTCTTGAGCTTTTAAAACTAATGGAGGAGTAAAGGCCAATGGATATTGGAAAATTTAAGACTTCTAGTGTAGTGCCACGATGACTGGAAAACCTAGAAAGTTAGAAGTATATGTTCAGCTAGTTGTACGTGTGTAAGAGACTAATAATAAACTGAAAAAGAAACTAACTGGGTACAACATGAATGTCAATAGTAAACTTCCACCACTAAAAATTTTAATGCCTAAAATAAAATTTCATAGTTAGCATGTCCCTGTTATACGTGTGTTTATGAATTACCTAAATAGACAGACAATTGTGAGTAATTTTAGAAAAAAACTCGATTAAAAGAGGAGGTTCAATGTTTCAGCATATTTATTTTTTTTATCTCACAAAAGTCCTAAACTTTGCTCCCACCACGAAGTTGTTTGAACTTTTTTCACCGGACCCCTTATCTATAACCGCAAATAACCAAAATTTTCCTGAGAGAAACAACAATAAAACTTTTATCCCAAACGTTTTGGGTCGGCTACACGAATTATATTTTCCATTTCTGTTCTATTATGGGTCATCTCCTTTGTTAAATTAAGCATTACATTAACCTTCTTAATTGCTCCCAACCAAGTTTTTTAGGTATACTTTTAGATCTCTTTGTCCCATTAACTATAATATTATACTATTCTAGTTTTACTAACTATTACTGGTGCACTAAAATGTCTCCGTTATGCGTTATCAAACCACCTTAGTCAAATCTCTTATTTTATCCTCAATAGAAGCAACTTTTAATTTACTACGGATGTAACCATTTCTTATCCGATCTTTTAGTGTATGCCTACAAGACTATCGTAATATTCTCATTTCCGCTACACTCATTTTTTGCACATGTTTTTTTAATTGTCCAACATTTCGATCCGTAAAGCGTTGTTGGTCTTATAAATGTCCTATAGAATTTTCTTTTTAGTCTAATAGGTGCCCTGAGAGAAAAAACCCTCAATTGGGTGAAGTGATACGTTGCCTATAAATGGCAGATGACTAAATTGTGTTTTTTCCTCCTTTCAAGTTTCAACATCATTTTAATTATTTACCAATTAGAGGCACTGGGTCTAAAAAATAATTAAATAAATTTTGGGAGGTTTTTGTGAGACACCCTAAAGTTCAGGGGTTTTTTGAAATTAAAAAAATAGGTGGTTATGTGCAAAAACCCCAAAGTTCACAAAATTGTTTGGGTAAAATTCACTCTTAAGATGAACATGCTTGAAGGTTGCTTCTCTTGTAATGAAGAGTTTTTGTATAATCATTCTAATTTTCTTAAGTCTTCTAAGTAAAGAGTTAATGCCTGCTTAACTGGGTTATGTTAACTCTGATTGACAATAAAAATTTAATTGGTGGGGTTTTGCTATTGATTTTCATGCTGTAGGCACTTAGTCTTTCCCCCCTTGATTTATTATTTGTCACTTACAAGTACTGGCGTACAGCTAGCTGAATACACACCCTGGCTTTCTAGGTTTTGCGGTCTTCATGGCACTTGAGACGTATTGAACTTTCCAACATCTGTTCCTTTTCTCCTCCGTTAGTTTTTTTTAGTACAGTAGTCTTCACTATCAAATTTTTTGTTCACTTTTTTGTTCATCTTGGTGCCATTCACAACTTGAACAACGACAATAAGTTTTTCTTACCGGAAAAAGTAAACGGAATTAATGAATGGAACATTTTAATTCTCAAGGATGCTATTGTTAGCACACGGACAACTGAATTTTACGACTATAATTGTTCCCTGTGGTATGTGGTCTGCACTATGTACTTGCTAGCTGGCAGGCATCATTATTCCCTGTGGTATGCTGTCTGCACTAACTTACTTGCTAGCTGGCACATCTCCCACCCCCCCCCCCCCCCCCCCCGCCGGCGCTTCTCCTCAAACAGAAAAAGTGGATGAATCTGATGAATGTGATTAGTTGTCTTAGACTGCTATTTTACCGCCATTCAAGTTAATTCAGTGATAAAATTAGGTCATACAACATGTTGTCTAACTAATATAATCAATGGTTAAGTGAGTCCAAAACCATATTATCAATATTTAAGGGTTAATGAGAAATTATTTTGATGTTTCAGTGGAAGTAAACTGGGTAAGGCAGTAACTTATGTGATTCTGGTTTCATTTTATCCCTTTGTACCGGGTATCAATTTTGTTTTATGCAATTACTAGTGGGTTGATTATTTAGTTTTTTTATTAGAATGCCAAATTATTAATGCGAGAAATCAGGTAATTGCTTTTGTATTGGTTCATACAGTAAGAAAAATATGGTTGTATAGAAGCATGAAAAAGCTTGTACGGTCCCTTTGAACAGTTAGCCTCGATCATATGTTAATTATTACAAAATATTCGCTGGAACATGGACCCTTTATCTGGAATTATGAGCTTTGTAATTTTGCACTTGTTCTTTGTGGTACTAGTCCTATTATACCTGGTGATGAAGCTTAGAAGCCAACATTTTTGTAGGACCCTTGTGCTGTCCTGAGGCAACATCTACTACAAATTGCTTCCAGGATGTAGCTTACCACATTTTCATCTTGTAACATGCCTACCAACAAACTTAAAATTGGATGATGCACTTCGATTGCTCCAAAAAAGAAGTGGTTGTTTTACTCTCCATTCTCAATCCTTTCTAGCCCTTTTCCATCTTTATTTCCTTCTGACCCTTCTATCAAGAGTCCTCTTTGAATAAAAAGCCTACTCATACATCCGCCACATAAATGAATTAAATTATGTTGAAGCGTCGTTAAAGAATGATGCATAATTGAGGTCAAAGACATGCATTATTTATAGGAATGTATATTACTACCTGTGAGGTTGGATAATAGAATAAGCCTTTTCTTCTCTGATCTACATTATTATGGTTTTAAAGTTATCGAAAGCCAGTGAAATAGCATGGGTCATGCATAATAGAAGTAATGTTCGATTTCTGTAAAAGCTGGAATACTTGGGTCGATTTTAGTCAATTCATATAACATGCATGGCAAGTAGATCTTAGACTGATGTTTCAGGGGAGAGTTTGAACCTGAAGAGATGTTATGCTATTAATTTAGGTTTACTTGCGGATGGACCCTCCTGTACTATCGCTCAATTGTGGATAGATCCCCTGTAGTTCTAATGTTGCAGATAGACCAATGAGTGAAATATTTTGACTTCTTTAGCCTCAGAGAAAGATAAAATTGTTTTTTGACAAACATACCTCATGAGAGTAAAAGAGTCAAAAAAATTCACTTGGGGGATCTATCTGCAATGAAACAATGGTACAAGGGGTTATCCAGGACAACAAAACTGTAGTGGGTCTATCTGCAATTGAGCGACAGTACATTAATTAACCCTTTTATTTATTTATTTTTCTTTGTAGTCCTTATTTGAATGTTCAAATTTTGTTTAGATAGGCTTATTGTCAACGGAAAGCCATGCATTGGGTACGGCGGCCGAAGTCATCACTGGGTAACAACTATTTTTTCCTATCCATGATTATTTTGATCCGGTGTTTAACTAAGTTAAGTTGTTAGCTTGAGTCCTCACCTGGCATTCTGCTTTGCATATGAAGGTTGCCTGTAGTTGCTATGGGGAAAAACAAAGCTGAACCTGAGAACAAGGATGCTGGTGACTCTGAAGACGATGAAGACGATGAGGAGAACGAGGACGAGGATGCTGGAGATGACCAAGGTGATGATGGCGGTGAAGGCGACTCGGGCGATGAAGCGAAAAACAATGAGGGAGGTGAAGAGGCTGATGATCCCGAGGCAAATGGTGAAGGGGGGAGTGATGACGAGGACGAAGAGGACGATGATGACGAGGAGGATGATGATGAAGATGATGAAGACGAGGACGAAGAGGAGGATGAAGATGATGAAGATGAAGAAGTTCCTCAGCCTCCCGCTAAGAAAAGAAAATGAAGGTGTCGATTTGAGTAGGGTTGTTGATGATTAGGAGATAGAACATGGTGGGTTGTGTAGAATTAGAGGGGTAACTGAATCAGTAGGAAAACGGAAAATGCCCTGTTGTGAAAAACCTTGTTTAAATTTCATATGGTATCATTCTGTTTTTGACTTTGGCGCAAGTTGAATGCCCCATTATCTCTATGTGCATCCTAGCATTGCTGTGATAATTGTTGCCCTTTGACCATGCATCATGGAGCTTGTTCTTGTGTTCTGGTCATTATTATTATTAGTAGTATTATTCATCTATTTGCGTTTGCGTTCTTGATATTTTCAAGCTTGATTTCAGTTTAAGTTTCTCGCCCTCCATGTAACTAGTATTTTTAGTTTACTGCTTCGAATAATTCGCTGTGTGGTTTACATTTATGTTATTTTGGAAGATATTTAAATCTCGTCTTAAAATGTAGTAAGAGCATCTCCGAGAGTGATCTTAGGTTTTTCTTATATTTGAGAAGCAAATCTCTCATCATAAAAAATAGGAAGCCAAATAAGGAGCAAGTATTCTAACAATGCTCTCCAAATAGCTTTCTATCTCATGTTTTAGACTAAATAAAGGGAGTAGGAGGAGAGAAAAGTTGCTCTAACAATGCTCCCTATAAGACTAAATATAAGGAGTCACTTTGTTATCCTTGATTTGGAATACCAAATCATATTCCCTATATTTAGTCTTCAACATAGGGAGCAACTCTTCTCCTTCCTACTCTATATATTTAGTCTAGTACATGAGATAGGAAAGCTGTTAGAGATGCTCTAAGAACTTTAGTGAAAGTAGTTCTTCGCGTCCTTCTCGTACTCTCTTGACCAACAGTTTTACATGAAAGACTACTGAAGCTTGGATATTTCAAAGACAACTGAAGCTTGGATGTTTCGAAGGGAAACTGAGCGACACAACATCAACAGACAGAGATGCTATCACAAAAAATATTCATTTATAATTATACATGTTATACATGTAAACAGATTAAAAAACATACTTAACATATCAAAATCAATAAGTGACATCGAGATTGCACTATCTCGACCTCAATAAATCTCAGATGAAGAACCTTGAGACTACTGAGAAACCGAAGCTAATTTTTCTTGGATATCAAGAGGAATTCCAGGTCTCCAAGTCGTTCCCTCGGGTCCATCCATGAGAGCAATTCCAACGGCAGCCAACTCCCTTCTGATCTCGTCGGACCTCTCGTATTGCTTGTTCTTTCTTGCTGAACTCCTCTCATCTATTTTCTCTAGCACTTGTTCTTCAGTGAGTCCCGCTCTCTTTAGAGCCTTTTCTCTGAGCTGAAGTAAAAGCTGCAAGTGCAACGAGATATAATACGGGGTTAAACAGTGGAAATCTAAAAAGATGTGTTTGTAGATGGGGAGTTTGATACCTCATGATAACTTGAAGGCATCAATCCAAGAATAGTCAAAGAATTCTTGATTTCCTTCTCGATAGCGGAAATAGATTCTATTCTTTTTTGCTGCTTCCTTCCCTGCTCACAGGATCAGGTACAGACCAAACAATCAATTATCTGAAGATAATACGTTTAATTCTTTGACGAGCATAAGCCCAAACTCATAAAAAATCAGATATTATTAATAGTGTTTCCAATAGATTAAATTAGTATGTTAGGTTAAACTAGTTTGTTAGATAAGGCCGCCTCCTATCAGACAATCACTGGATTCTATGCAACATAAAAACCTGACTTGGCTGATCACATAACCACCATCAGTTTGCAACATAAAAACCTGACTTGGCTGATCACATAACCACCATCAGCATCATTATTCTGCGTGCAACCAAAATCAGCACTTGATTTTTAGACTGCATATCATGTTAATATCACAAAGTAAAAACGACCATCATCCTCAACTCCAAGCCACTTAATAATTTAAGCAATAAAGTATGGAAGGATGAAGGTTTGTCTCTCGAAACTAAGGCAAGAGACAATTCCCCATGAAATTTTTTCTGCATAGAAGAGGGAGGGGTGCTAAAATGAGTTATCCTTCATATTTAGATATGTCAAATGACATGCCTTCATTTAATCATAGAAAGCTAGATATCTGGAACCTTATGGTGCTGTTTTCTTCCCATTTTAAGTGATGCGTTTTATAATTGGAATGATACGAACACGTCTGAAAAACAGCTTATTTGTTGCGAGAAGGGCAAAAAAAGGGGGTTTTCAGCAAAGCAGAGATCACTATAGTGGACTCCTCGATCCTGTTTGGAATTTAACCAGGGACAACAAAGCTGTAAGATGGACTCTGATCAACATATTCTCATAGCAAAAACAGATTGAAATAAAAGAGATTGGCAAGGGAGACTTTTTGCCAAAGCACTTAAACTTGAAGCTGCATATTCATTTTACAATTTTATTAGGTGATCAAGAAGTGAAAATGATTCTGTCAATGTTTAATCTTTGTGTTGAAAGTGATCCTGAAGTGGTGCAAATATTGAAAATTGACAGTTGGAAGCTGATCAAACTTCTCTGCTATGTCATATTGTCATATAGACTTTGGAGGGCTATCAGACTCCCAAACTAAGCATGTGCTACAGAAAGTGAACCAATGTGCTTACTGCATAGTTAATGATAGCATAAAACAGGGTATGATGTGAGATGGAAGAGCTTGTAGCATCAGATGCTATGATATGTTTTCATCGAAGGATATACTTGCAATTGTGAGATTTTGCTCTGGCAAAGGATAAACAAAATTGGATGCAGTCAAACTTAGGACAATAACTTGATTTATTAATAACTTAATATTTGAAATTCAGGCAAATTTAGGGACAAGAACTTGATCTACTGATAACAGTAGTGGATTCAAGATTGAATTGTTGGTGACTTGAAATATCAAGTACTATTTTTCACTATTTTCTTTTTCTTTGCCAGATTGTTTTCATAGCTGAGGATCAAATATAATCGTCCTATGCAAATTGACTTAAGAATTTTAACAGTATCTGCAGCAGAATCAATTTCTCGGTATTTGTGATGACTATCCATACAATTCATTTTTTAGTTAAATTATTTCTCCTTGACAAGATTCTCATCTCCTATGGGAATGTATAAAATGGTTACAAGCTATCTAAATAAACATATATAGTGTCTGAGAACAAATGCAGAAAAGCTGTTGCATAATCTTGCATAAAGGATCAACATAGTGTCCACACTGCTTACATTAGCTCTGCAGTAACTATTTTTTAGTATGCAGAAATTATTATATACAAGAGAACCTTCTAATATTTGGAACTGCTCACGTATTCCCAGGGTGTTAGACAGCCAAATATGTGCACCGACTTTGAGCAGTAAGGTGGTTAGAGACGCTAGGACTAAGGTAGATCACAGATGATTGCAGTAACAGAACAGAACAGAACAGAACAACAGAACAGAACAGAACAGAACAGAACAAAACAAAACAAAAATATGACTTGTTAAATAGCGAAAAGAAATTTGTCAACACAGGAAATTGGAAAGGAAAATAGAAAAGGAAATTATATTTTTCAGCAACATGACCTAATATTAACCCAATAACAATAATGATAGAAACCAAATCATGAGAACAATGATTGTTGTTTTGAACAAATTAGATGGCATGTTTAATAGAAAAGAAGAATCAGATTGTCAGCACACACACCAAAAAAAAGGAAAAAAAAGAAGAAGCAATAGTAGCACCCAAAAAAAAAAGCAAAAGCAAAATAGAATATAATATATTCTTATAAACAAGCAATAGGTCTAATATGAACCAAACGACTATGATACAAAGTAGATCATGAAAACAATGGTAGTTGTTTTTAGCAGATTAGATGGCATGTAAAATGAAAACAAGAATTCAGCTTGTCGACACAAAGAGTTGGAAAGCAAAATAGATAGAAACTTACAGTCTAACATGAACCCACAGTGATTATGAATGACAATAACGGTAAG